GAAAAGACCCGCGAGAAAAGGATCGATACTCACCACCTATTTGTCGACTTTAAAGCCGCTTTTGACAGCACTAAAAGGAGTTGCCTATACGCCGCTATGTCTGAATTTGGCATCCCCTCAAAATGACGTTGAGCAATACCACCAGCTCCGTCAGAATTGGAAAAGACCTCTCCGAGCCGTTCGCCACAAAACGGGGTTTCAAACAGGGCGACTCCCTTTCATGTGACTTCTTTAATCTGATGTTGGAGAAGATAATAAGAGCTGCAGAACTGAACCGCTCAGGAACAATTTACTACAAGAGCGTGCAATTGCTGGCTTATGCCGATGACAATCAGCGGTTGTGCTGCTGAGTTGGGCGAGCTTTCCAAAAGCTGCTATTTGATCGCTGGTTTTGTATGGAAAATGTTTCACATGCAAATAGATTTTAACAATTTAGAATTTTTGTGAGAAGAAATTTAAAATATTTGACATTTTCGAAAACAAATAATTTGAAAAAAATCAAATCAGCTGATATTATCAATGTGCCTTGGTTTAATTGTATTTTTGGAATAAACAAAGTTCTTTTTCCTTCTGTCAGTAAACTGTTTTTTTTTTTACAAATAGTATAAATAAGCAATGGGAAATAAGGCAAAATTTGTTTTATTTCCAACCTTTCTTGGAAATAAAGCAAAACTCAGATTTTGGTATTATTTCCCATTTAAAAGTGAAATAAAGCAAATTTTGCGTTATTGCCGTGTGTTATTTCACCCCCCCCCCCTTTCAGATGACCTTTTTTGAGAGTATATTGAACTTCATTAGAAGCGTAAAGAGTTCGGACACATCCTGTATAAAAAATATCACTATTTCGGAGAGTCCGGTTAGGGATATGGAAACAAATGCGCTCGAGGAGATATGATGAATCAATTACACCCTTAATAATATCGAAGACAAAGGTGAGCGAAAGAATAGTTCTTCTGCTTTGAAGAGATTTCAGGTCAATTAGCGCACATCTGGCTTTATATGAGGTAGTAGGGTCCGCGAAATTCAGCGACCGCAGAGCAAAGCGTAAAAACGTTTTTTGAACCCGCTCGAGTCTATTAATATGGCATCCATGATACGGTCTCCAGATAAAAGAAGCGTATTCCAAACTTAGAGCGTACCAGCGACGTGAACAGTAGCTTAAGGGTATAAGGATCTGTGAAATCTGAACTAAATCGACGAATAAAAGCAAGCACTGAAAACGACTTAGCAATGGTGTAATTTAGATGACTATTAAATAAAAATTTCGAGTCAAAAACTACACCTAAGTCAGTTATCTCATTAGGAGCAGATAGACGGGTACCAGCAATACAATAAGAAGTGGGGACGCGATTTGGAGTAGGATAAATGAAAACACTTACTTATGTTTAACTCTAGGCCATTGGTGCGACACCAGGCTGAGACATTGTCAAGGTCTGATTGAATCTTAATGGAGTCTGAAGAATTTGAAATGGTCGAAAAAATCTTCAAATCATCAGCGTATAAAAGGAAATTAGAGTTAACAAAACAACTCGATATGTCATTAATAAAAATGACAAATAGCAGGGGGCCTAAGATGCTGCCTTGGGGAACCCCAGACGACGCTATGAAAGAGTTGGAGTGCGTATTCTCGACAACGACTACACAGTTTCGATGCTGAAGATAGGATTTTATCCAAGATAAAAAAAGTGAATGAAAACCCAAACTAGCTAATTTAGAGATAAAAATTGAATGACTGACTTTGTCGAAGGCTTTTGAAAGATCTGTATATACAGTGTCAACTTGAAGGCGGTCATTGAAAGCCGTCATACAAAATTCAGAGAAAATTGCTAGATTTGTCACAGTATACCTACCGCACATGAGACCATGCTGGTTATCGGAAATTAAGTGTTTAACTGTAAAATACAACTTCTGCTTAACAATATATTCAAATAACTTTGAAACAGTCGACAACTTGGCGATGGGCCTGTAGTTGGAAACATTGCTTTTATCACCACTTTTGAATATAGGGCTAATGAAGGTAACTTTCCAGGCATCGATGAACTCGCCACACTCAAGTAATTTATTGAACAGTAACAGAAGTGGGTTTGCAAAGGCCAAACAATTCTTAAGAAGATAAGATGATAAGCCGTCAACGTCTGTCTGCAATGAGGACTATTTATTCAGAATTTTTAGAAAAATTGTCAGTACGCAGTTTTGTAGCTCGCTCAATTTTAGTATCATAAAGTGCACGTTTCAAGTAGTTAAAAA